CCAGTATCACACACAGTTGTGCATGCCAGATTGAGTAGTCCACAACCAACCTTGCCACTGGTCTGATGTCTCGGCCCAGTTTCAGTCTGCGCTAGAAACCCTCTTCACCTGTTCACTGGACGTTGGATACCTTTCAAATGTTGCATCTAAATGTCCATTCACTATAGCAGTGGTTTACAGCCTGTTGCCTGTGGACCCCCAAAGAGTCCACGGACTATGTCGAAGGGGTCTCTGAAAGACAACTGTGATCAATTAAAAGTATGTGAATACCCACACTTACAATTCAAAGCGGTCTGCACCTCCATTTGCAATTTCCAAAAGGGGTCTGCAAATAAAAAAAGGTTGAAAATCACTGTGCTATAGGGAACAGACTCCATCCTTCAGGTCACCCACTTAGTCTTAGCCAGAGACTCTTAATATCAACCGTTTCCCAAATCAGCTCCTACCTGTGGTGAAAGGACCACTACGTAGGACATCCCATGCTTCAGATATGATGCTTGAGGAGCATCTCTGAAGGAAACCACTAGGATATTGCTCCTGTTCTTAAAACTCTGTCCAGAGACTCAAGTTTCCGGTTCTTCCAAAGACTCCTTATGTCATCCGTGATAAACAGCATGGTCTGTCTATATCTTGATTCCCTACGTGCAGAATGGAGATCATCATCGTTAGTCTGCTGGTCTGCTTACTGTAATGCTTAGGGGCTGGGACTGTCTTCACTATGTGCACGCACACACGTGTGTGTGTACACGACCTAATGGAGTGTGAAGGTCCTGCCTTAATATAAAGAAATACTCATCCTAAGAAAACAACAAACAGCTATCCTCTTCCTGGTCCCCGAATACCCCAATACTCTTTCCTCTTCTTCACCTTCTTACGCGTCTCTGCCACGCCAGCTCTCATAGTCTCATGAGATGCAGTCTCTCACCACAAGCCCCAGGTCTTGGAGTCAAGTGATTCCACAGAAGAAAAAAAAAAAAATCACAGATTTCTAGGTTTGTTTGGCATTTTTAAAATATAAGCTCCCAGCCTTTGTGGCTGGGAAGAAAAACACAGCCCCAACCCCCCTAAAGGCTCAGACCCCAAAACAGCAAATACAAAAAGCCTGAACTCTATTATTTCCATCCCATTGGGATGGAAACGGTCAGCCATGGGATTTCAGGAGGCCCGGCTCATGATTTTTGAACACGTGGGGTGGTCTTTGAAGCAGGGACCCCAAATACACCTCTGTTAGGTCTGCCTGCACATACAGGGAGCTGTCCCAAGTCCCGTGATCATCTTGCTGGCTAATTGCCTTTATTAAGCCAGTGGTTCTCAACCTTTTTGGATTCACAGCACCCCTGGAAAAACACCGGCTTTTCGCTTATACCTGATTTTTGACAGCAGAATAATCCTAGAGCAATTTTTCTGCTGCAAAGACCCCAGAAAAGTCACAATGGGTCTTTTCTAAACCCTTCCCTTGCACGTCTCTCTTTTAAACAAACCAGACCTGGGCTCCCCCATCTCCCCTGCCCCGCTGTGCTGCTCCTCACCCGTATTCCTCCTAGATGCTTCCTGAGGGGTGGGGAACCAGCGAGCGGCGCGGTTTTTTTAAATCCTACAAAGTGAGGGTAGGTCACCTTTAGTCCAACCCCTGCTCCAAGCAGGACCAGCCCCAGCCCCAGCCAAGCCTTAACCACCTCCAAGGATGGAGACTCCCCCACCTCTCCGGGTAGCCTGTCCCAGCGCTTCACCCCCCTCTTAGCCAGAAAGTTTTTCCTAGCATCGACCACGACCTCCCTTGCTGCAACTGGAGCCCATTGCTCCGTGCCCTGGCGTGGGAGCGGCCCAGCAAGGGCTTCCCCCAAGACCCCGGAGGCTGCAGCTCGGGCACCAGCCCCGCGGGGGGCGGCAGCGGTGGATGTCTCGGCGCTCTGGCTCCTCCCCGCATCATTGATGCTCTCGGAGCTCCGCCGCTCGCCGCTGGCATGGAGACCGCGCGGGCCGCCGCCGCTGCGGGCTGCCGGGCCGGGCCAGGGGCAGGCAGCCCGCGGTAAGGGGCGGGGAACAGCCCCCGGCAGGGACTGGGGGTGCTGGGGACAGGGAACAGCCCCCCTGGCAGGGACTGGGGGTGCTGGGAGCAGGAAACAGCTCCTCCGGCAGGGACTGGGGGTGCTGGGGGCAGGGAACAGCCCCCCAGCAGGGACTGGGGGTGCTGGGAGCAGGAAACAAACAGCCCCCCGAAAGGGACTGGGGGTGCTGGGGGCAGGGAACAGCCCCCCAGCAGGGACTGGGAGGGCTGGGGCAGGAAACAACCCCCCTGGTAGGGACTGGGGATGTTGGGAGCAGGAAACAAACAGCCCCCCGAAAGGGACTGGGGGTGCTGGGGGCAGGGAGGGGGCAGTCTCCGAGGGATTTGGGGCACTCTGCTGCGGCTGGGATGAGCTCCTTCAGCACGAGCCGGCAGCAGCAGCAGTTCTCCCGTCTCCCCAGGTTGACACTGCAGTGTGGATGAAGCCGAGCGCGGGCAGCGCCTGGGGGGCTATGGGCCTGCAGTGAGAAGCAGCCCACGAATTGGCCTGCAACGACTGTCCTCTAAGGCATCCACTCGTCCTCTTGCCTTTTCTCTCCCAGGAAGGTCTCTTTTGGCTACAGCAACTGGATAACTCACCCAGAGTCAGTCGCCTGGAGGTAACCAAAGCCGGCTGCTTAAAGCGCCCTGCATCGACCAGACCCAGGGGACTTCGTTACTTGATGCTTCCCAGGTAACTCAGGCCCCGCTTAGCAGCAAAATCCAGCTTCAGCGCAGCCAGTCCAGTCAACAGCTGGGCCCGGGCCTGGACTGCCGACTTCCAAGATCTCACTGGATAATTGAAGCCTCTCCCTCCTTTGCAGAAGCAGAAACACCCAAAGTTGGCGAATTAAAATCTCTGAAAATCTCTGAGCTGTTTAACAAGCCAGGATTTTGCCGAGCCCGCTGTTAGGCTGTCAACCTCTGCTTCAGTAGCAATTTCTCCTTCCCGGAGAGCTGTTGCTGGCAATGCAGTGGCCAGTGCATTAATCCTCAGCAAGAAGAAACAGTCTAGTGCTGTCATCGTTCTGTAGCACAGGCCTTCCCAAAGTCCTGTGGTTGCACCGACGGAGGCACGGTGCTTACTGTAACACACAAGAGCTGGTGTGTCACCAGTGCCCTCTATCGGGCACCATTCTGCACATGCTGATTTACGCATCAAACCCCATCCCAAGGAGATTCCCCTTCTCCTCCACGCACAGGAGTCCTATCCCTACACATGCCCAGGGATTAGCCAGCGGATCCATCCCCGCACACGGGAGCAGGTATTGCAGAGCACACGACAAGCAGAGTAATGAATGGCCGGGTGCCACTAGCTGAGAAAGCCTTATCCGAAAGCTATGCCAGGCTGCGATACAGAGACACCTCACTGCTTATCTGGCAGCAGCAGCAGCAGCAGCTGGAATCCGGCCCCCCAGCTACCTATTTAAGTCGGAGCCGGAGCATGTGGTACTCGCAGTACGGCAATGAAGCTATCCTGGTACGGGACAAGAACAAGCTCGATGTCTCCAGAGATACCGGGCAGTCCAAGTTTTGCACGGTTATGTAACTGGGGTGGCTTAATGCCAGATACCTGTAGGCAGCGAACACGTGAAGGAGCCCGCTAGAAGCCTTAGGCACGTTTTCTTCAAATTAACAAAAAAATGGTGGTAGCTTTAAGTGTCACACTCTACTACTGCTGCCTCCTACGTGATGGGGACCAAGCTACCCAAGTCGACGCAAGGGAAGAACAAATTAACTTCCCTGCAAGCAAGGCTCTGTGTGCCTGGTACCCACGTCCATGTGGCACTTGCATAAATATTTCCATAAGGGATGTTTTATCTGAAATAGTTAAACTAGTGCAACCTACTAGCATGGATGTATGTTTGCTGGTATAAAAGCACCTTATACTGGCGGAGCTTTCTGTCCCTTACAGGAATAGCTTTTCCAGTATAAGCACTTGATACTAAGATAATAGCACCAGTATTAAAGAGGAAGAGGGATTGTATCCTTTCAACTCTATCATTAAGGTGGTATGAGTTGTGCGTGTAAATTGGGTCTTAATTTACTAAACCTGCAAGGATGTTTGAGGTTTGAATTTATTTTCCCCATTGATGCCACCCCTAGCTCAGACTTTTAATTGAGCTTGTCTAGGAGAAACAATCTAGTCGGGTCCTCACCTAGACTAGAACCATTGGATAAGGCTGGGGATCGCAGGTGTCATGGGAATGTTTGAGCCCAAGCTGTTAGCATTTGGAATTGCTTAGAAATGTTTCTTAAAAAAAAGATTATCCTGCAAAAACAGGCAGTAGCCAAATCTGCCTTTTCTGGCTTCCCATGGGCCAAATATAAAAAACTGAAGCAACATACAGGCAGTTGTGTTAATCTCTGCCAGAGCTGCAGCTTTAATGCAGCTCCAGAACCCAGGGAGTTAATGCTGCTGCTGCAGGCTCCCTCCTTTTCCCCTGTTGGGAATCCTGGAGGGATTTAGCTCACCCCACAGTACCCATAGTAATTGGGACACTGGGGCATATACATCAGTCCTTGCAGTGTTAACTAAGGGGTATATTGAAGACTGAATGTTTTAGAAACATTTAGACCATAGCCTTGGTGGTGCTTGTTGCATTGCTGCTGCATCTCAATTCAGCAGCCCAAAGGTTTCCTGAAGAACTTGACCTGGGATTTCACAAGAGCTCCTTGCTGTCACTGCTTCCCATGTGAGCACCAAGGTCTGCGGTGAGGAGGTTGCAGTGATTTTGCTGAACTGGCTGGAAGCCACATGATGCCCATCACTGACCTCCACTCACCGTCTGCAGGAAGAATCATAATAGTGACACGCAGAGAAACAACTCGGAGACAGGTATGGGCATCAACACTAAGGGCCTAGGGGAAGCAAACAGATCAACCCTTCTAAATGGTGATACACCCTCAGAGCCCAAAGCTTCCTCTGGGCTTACTCCTGCTAATGCAGAGGTTTTCCTCATTTCAGAAAGTTTTAGAAACTTTCAGAAAGATTGTATTAACATTGCCTTTGGTGCGATCATAGGAAGTAAGGCTGGAAGGTCCACCCCAAGCTCTTCGTTTTGCTTGTCCTTTTGTTTCAACTTGGCTGCCAAGTCAAAATACCACTTATTCCACCCTCCTAACTGGCCCTGTGCAGGGGTGCAACGCTTAGCACGTACACTAGTGACTGGGATGGAGGTTCACATGACAGCTGAGGGCAGCTGCACTGTGTTGTTTTCCACGTGACAGTACGTTTCTCCCCATCACTTAGCGTAATACCATTGTGCTGTTTGTCACAGCAGATTTGGTGGTAAGGTTGATATGGAGTGAGAGTTTCTATGCGTCTGTTATATAGTGTAGACTCGCTTGTTTTAAATGCTGTTGTCATTTCCTGATGAAATTAATTAAAGTGACTGGAATGCATCACTGACAGCAGCTGTTCTTTTGTTTTCCAGTAAACTGCTTTGCTGCATTTGATTATTAGATATAGATGTATATTGATTGATATATAGATATATTACAACTCAGAGTACTGGCCAAGGCCAAGTATATAGGCAGGCAAACCCAATTAGGAGCTGCATGAGCTAGTGGTACACCTGTTGGCATCTTAATGTTGCGGCAAACCCCCAGTCAGAACTGAGAGCTGCAAGCCGGCTTACCTGGGATGGTTGGAAATGTGTGGATGAGACTGGAGCCTTGGTGATGTTTCGGTTGCATCGCCACTGCATCTCGATTCGACAGCCCAACGGTTTCCTGAAGAGCTTGACCTGGGATTTCACATGAGCCCCTTGCTGTCGCCGCTTCCCACGTGAGCACCAAGGTCTGCGGTGAGAAGGTCACAGTGATTCTGCTGAACTGGCTGGAAGCCATGTGATGCCCATCACTGACCCCTCTCATAGTCTGCAGGAAGAATCATAATAGTGATACATGGAGAAACAACTCAGAGGAAGGTACGGGCATCTTCACTGCCAGCTCTTTGCATGAGAGCAGACACGAGGGACATATGTCCTTCAAGCCATCAGCAGGCAGAGAGAGCTAGGTCCTGCACCAGGGTAAGGAGGCAGAGCCCCATTGTAGCCAATGGAGCTACAACTGGCATCCTCCAAAGAGTTGATCTAGTGAAATCCAACCCACTGCAATTCCACTGCTGCTTCCTAGGCACAGCAGGCCAGGGGAACTTGGACTGAGCCTGTCGTTGAAGGGACTTATCAGACGTTATGTTCTACAATCAACTGTCTGTAACTAGGACAACTTGAATCTTGTCGCTGTCACTCAGCTGGGCACTGACTGAGGTTGTCTGACAAGCGTTGGGAAGCTCCCTTCAGGCTCTGGGCTTGTATGCCGCATTTGTACGATAGGCATCTGACACCTCCCTGCAGCAGAAAATGTTCCGTCCCATCAGTCTACAGGCTTCCTCCAGGAAAGCATGTACAGACATGCTTCAAACCAACGAGCAGGGCACCCTTTTGGGAGTCATTGTCCAATGAAGCAGCTACAGCTTTTAAAATCCCTTCTTTTCCTGAAGTCCTAAATTTATAGATGGGAATGTTCAATTTTGACCAATCAAAATACTCGTGGGCTTAAGGTTAAGTGCTTAGATGCCCAGCTGGGTCAGAGTTAGAGCGCTCAGCAGCTGGCAGGATTGAGCTCTGGATGTGGCTAATGTTAGGACTTTGACAGCTTATCCCATGGGAGCAGCTCTCCTGCATCAGAAGGGAAAAGTCTACACAGGCTTCCTCCCAGAAAGTGTGTGAACCAAATAACAACCAACAATAACACACAACATTTTCCAAATAACAAGCAGTTAATAAAAAAAATCAATGGAGGAAAGGATAAGGCCCGTGTCCTCTTTAATGTCTTCACCTGCAGATGGACCAAGGTCTTTTAAGCCACTGGGTGGAAATGTGGATGGGGAACAAACTCTTGCAGAACCCCACTACGCTTATTCTTGTGGTATTTAAATGCCTGAAAATAAGATCTAAAATAGTCCCATTGTGTCAAGGAAATTCATATGGCCATAGCTGAGTTACCACCAACAGGCAAACCAGATTTAGCGGCTTTAGGTAGGTGCGTGGGTTCCAGTACTGATTCTTTCAGTCACTAGATATTGATAACCCCCTTAACTGAAGGCAGGTGGCTAAACAGTTACTGATGTCCCACCCTGCCACTGACTGCATTTCAAATGATTGGGGAAAAGCACTCACCTGTTTTGGGGCCAGCAGGACTTATGCAGCAATATGGACTGTGGCTGCAGAACAGACCAGGCCAACCAATACTGCAGCTGTTGCTGTTCAAAAGTGGGGCCAGCATTGGTAAAATCATCAGATGGGGTTGGGTTTGGGCTGGTTCAAAGTGGGTTGGGCACCATTAGGCAATTTTCATTTACTCCAGGATGAAAAGATGCATGTTCCCATTCCCTCTCAGTACTGTGTGTGTACCCGTGCTCCCAATGCATGTTAGATCTGTAAATGCCTGGTAAAGACAAAACCTGCAGCTTTCACAGCAATCCAGGCAGGCTTGCATTGATCTCACCTTGTCATACCAAGGCAGAAACTGCCTGTGCCTTGTTTTCAGTAGGTCCCAGTGAAATAACAAACCCTATTATTTTGCTATTAAAAACAAGCAAACATTAGTTTGGGCACCAAAGACATGGCTGACAGTTCTAACTTGCAGAACTGCCGACTTGACTGAAGGGGTTTGCTAAAAGAGGGCCCCAAACAATTGGACTTGTGTGTGACGTATGATCCTGGAGCAGGAGAGTTTGGCTCTAGTCACTGAGCAGCAGCTTGTAGCCATTTGTGGGACTGGAGCAGGGAGGGGAGACAGGAACATTGCACTGTGGGATACCTGGAGGACCAACTGGGCTCCTTGTCATAGACAAATGTGACAAGTGTACAGACATCATTTGGGAAATAACTGCACAAAGTAATACCTGATTTTTCCCAGCATGCTTTCAGCCAGTTTGGTAGTGGCTCAGTGAGCACGCGTGCTTGTCCACTCACCTTTTATAGCAGCATAAAAATGTTTATACCACTTTAAAAGTGCTATAACAGTTGCAGCTGTCCACAGCTTCAGGGAACTAGGAAGGGGAAGGAAAAGAAATGTTTCGAGTGGGACAGGCCAGCACTTTTTTTTTTTTTTTTATTATGAAAACAAAACAAATGCCCCGGGAATGGGGTCCATGATTACCAGTCACATCGAAGATTACTTTCTAACCCCCCCCCCCCTTTTTTTTTTTTTTTAAATTCTGTTGTGTTGAGGCCAGCATTTGCAATAAACAAGCTAAAACTACTTACATTGACTCGTTTTTCAGTAACTGACATTTACAGGAATATACTAGAAATGGCACTAAAAAGTTTTAAGAAAAAGAGTTACGGTAAATTTGCATGCACATCATACAGAAAAGTAACATTTTTTTTTAAATATAAAAAAAGGAAAAAACAAACAAACAAAACCCCCCAAAACAACCCCCTCCTTCCTCCCCCCTCCCCAAAATACAACAACAAATCTTTCTGGAATTATGCCGATAACAGGGAATAAAGTTCTAAAATAGCCTGGTGTCAAGTTCTAGCTGGTGGGTTTTAATTTTTTTTTAAAAAAATGGTTTTTTTGAAAAGATATTGAAATCCCATTTTAAAAAAGCCTCTTGCTGCTCTACAAGC